GAGCTGGGCAAGCCAAGCCCCCCACCCCCTGGCTGGCAGCTCCTGATGGGGAGAGGGACTGAGGTTGGGCTGCCTAGCTCCCCCCACCCATCCCACTGGCATCTCCCTGCAGAGAGGGGGACCGAGGTCGGGCTGCCTGGTCTCCCCTGCATGGTGGCTCCTCTTGGGCTGCCAGTGCCCATATCCCTCAGCTGACAGCCCCTCACATGGCTGGACTGGCGGGTGGCTCCTCACGGCTGGGGACGGGCAGTGAGGGCCAGGGCTGGGTTGCCCCCCACCTCCCATCCCTCTGTTCCGTGTGGGGAGGGGAACCGAGGCTGGGCTGTCCAGCCCCCGCTGCCCAGCTGCCCATAAGGAGGCCTGGTCTGGGCTGCTCCCGGGTGGGCGACTGACGTGTGTCTTGCTGCGTGAACGAACTGCTCCTGTTGCTTTGTCTCTTTTCTCATAGACTCTGTACTTCGTGAGGAGATGGCGGAGCCTGAAGCACGTGTTCTCCGATGGCTGCATTGAGGTCTTTCTGTACGTCCTTTCGGTCGCGGGACATGAAAGTTTGTGTGAAATCAAACCTGGGTTAAGAGGCAGCTGGGCTGCCAAGAGGTCGGGAGGCGGGTGGTGAGCAGAAGGGACCAATTCTCACACACAAGATGTTTGTTCTGCTGCTCTCTCATCTTTCCAACCAACTCTTGGCTCTTTCCACCTACCCGTTGCCTCTTGTCATACTCTTAGATCATGAGCTCTCCGTGTTTCTCTTATTTTCACTCGTACCATGCCCGGTGCACTGGGGTATCATGGTGCGACTGTCATACAGATCATGCCAACATAAGCTCACAATAACTAAGATCTGACCATGTGGACTAGTGGACAGAGCATTGGACCAGGCCTCAGACCTGGGGTCCATTTGTAGCTCCACCAATGGCTCCCATTAAAGTTACGGCCTTGGGCAAGTAATTTTATTCTCCCGTGACTCAGTTTACCAATTTGTAAAATGGGGACTGACCTCGGTTCGTAAAGCACATTGAACTCAGCAGATGAAGAGTGAGGTGCTTTTGTGAAGGGGGAGAGACTTTAGTGTGTGTGTGTGTGTGTGTGAGAGAGAGAGAGACAGAGAGAGAGAGAGACACCAGTTATGCATATGTAACTCCACTGGTATGTGAATGTATCCAGTGGATAGGAGAAGGAAGTCAGGCCAATTATAGCTGAGATTTTCTATAATGTGAACTTCCCTAAAGTCGAACGCATCTGCAACAAACTTGTGCAGGAAGTAGGTGGCAGGTGGATTTTGTTACTAACCAACCCAGACCTGCAAGGTCTGATTAGCTGCCACTTTTGTAACCCAGCAAGATGCGGCTGGCTGCGCCCTGTGTGGCACCAAAGGGGTTTGCTATTGAAAGTTTCACCCAGTGTGTGACAACGATTGCATCCCCCAGCTTGCTCCAGGCATTCTCGCTGCTGCTTTCGGCCGTGCTGTACCTTGTGCCTTCAGAAGTTTACGTGCCCACCATGGTATTGTCCTTGCTGCTGGGATGGGTGAACATGCTGTACTACACTCGGGGCTTCCAGTGGACTGGAATCTATTGCGTCATGATACAGAAGGTCAGTGTGGAGATCATCGATCCAACTGTTCTCCTGTAAGGACCCTCAGAGCCATGAATCCAGCCAGTACTTAGGCCGCGCACATTGAAATACCAGGCTGATTTGTGTCAATTTATTCTGTCAGGGGTGATGGAACGATGCATGGAGCAGACCCCTGGCTCAGTCTGCAGCAAATCACAAGAAAAAATTGAGTTTTTTGGGACTCGTCCTGGTCCCCAAAGTAGGTGAGGTTGGTCAGCCTCCACCTACCCTGTCGTTCGCATACACAGAGCACATACAGAGTACACACAGAGTATGTGTGTACACACACACACACACACACACACACACACACACACACACTACTCATAGACCTAGAGTACACATAGAGTACACACAGAGTACAAGTGTACACACACACACCAATAGAGTACACACAAAATACACAGAGTATACACAGAATTCATGTGTACACACATACAGAGTACTCACAGACTACACACACACAGTTCTCTCTCTCTCATGCACACGCACAGAAAGAGAGAGAGAGAGTCCAGGAGATGTTTCCCACTGCTGGCAAGTCTGGATTGAGGTGCCAAGGAAGATTTCTATGTGGCATTCCATGCTGGAGAAGCAGGGGATGTTGCACATTGGAGATGAGAGGCATCAGCCGTAGGCTGTGGGAGTGAAAGAGGGAGGCAGCTCTGGAGGAACGGGATGGGCTGTACCGTTCAGGGTTCAGTTGCAAGGACAGAGCCAGGCTGCCGACCAGTCTCTTCTATGAAAACCAATTCACTTCGACATTACAAGAAATGATCTCAGACTGGCTTCACTGTCCCTCCAGACACTCCAGTACCTCAGAGAGAACGACACCACAGAGTTATAAACTGACCAGTCAAGCAGACGCCTCGTTTGGAATTGAAAGTATGCAAACAGGCTGCACGAGAGACCAAAAAGCAAACAAAAGGGCAAATACACTGCAGTACTGTGTTTGCAAAAAAAAGATTTGACAAGGTCAGGAATCTGTTTCTGTGCATATTTCGTTTCCATTAAGAAGGTTAAAAGCAGCATTTCTCTTCCACGTTCCGAGGTGTCTAGCTCTGAGGTTCGGCTGTAAGGTCCGATTTGGCCTGTGGAACCAGCGGGGTCTGGAGGAAAGGCCTCAGGATGGGGAGCCAGGGACACTTGAGTTCTAAGCTCAGTGCTGTTGCCCAACTGCAGCGCGAACTTGAGCAAGTCTCAGCCTTTGCATCTGCTCCGAACTTTTTCTGCGACCCTTTCTTGGGGCACTCAGGCCTGTGTGTCACCTTGATATCCCCTGCCAGAGGGGTTGACAGAATTGCGGGGCCTCTGGGCAAGGTGGAGGGGTGGGGGCTTCAGAGGCGGGGCTGGGAAGAGGTAACCCTCACCTCCCAGACTGCACCCCTCCCCACCAGCCCTCACAGCCATCCGGAGCATGCTGCCTGGGGCTCCAGTGGCGATTTAAAGGGCGTGGGGCTTTGGCTGCCGCTGCTGCCACAGTAGCAGTGATGATAGTTGGGAACCCAGCTGACCCCTCCTCAGTCCCCGGTTGGCGGGCCTGCTCCAGACAGTCTGCCCAGAACTCTGCCAGCCCTTGCTCCACATTGTAGGTAACAGTCCCTGAACACTTCAGAAGAGTTTCCCAATGGGGCCCAGCCCCTGCCACTGGACAGTCACAGTAATTCCCAAGACCCCTGCCTCCAGAGCGATCATGTAGCCACCAGCTCACTTGGTTCGATGGCAGAGGCACTCGTTACATAATCTCGCAGCCACGGGATGAATGTATAATAAAGAAAGAAAAAGTTTGTTTTCAAAGAACAGAAAATCACAAATTCAAGTGAGTAAGGACAATAGAAACAGATGGTTTTACAGGTGGAACCTCTCTAATCCGGCACTCTCTGGTCTGGCAACACCCGTAGTCCGGCATGATTTTAGTGAGCTGTGTGTCCACTTCTCATGAGTGTGGCCAAGTTTCTCATGGTCCCATAAAGTTTGTTTACAGCCACCAGTCCTGGCTGTCAGTGTCCTGTGCTGTTATTTAGCTCTAATAGACCCCTAAATGACTTCTGAGAGCCCTGCAAGCAGTGAAAATGTTGGAGATGCTGCTAGACAATATTGACCTCCTGTGGATCAGCACATTTTCTGGTTTAGCACCGGTCAGGTCCTGCGGGTGTCGGACTAGAGAGGTTGAACCTGTGTAATAAAACAGAATCATAACACGTTTCTAAGAGACTAATCAGAACCGTAACAGGCTATGCTCCTGTGCCTCAAAACATTTCTCACCCTCAAAAGCCTTGTGGAGACCTTGCTAATCTTCATTCAATTCAGGATCCAGGTTGTGGTGAACTGTCCCCCTCTGCCAAGAGCGTTCTGTAGTGAAATGGATCACAAAATGCCCTGTTCTTCTCCAGTATTCCTCTTTTTTTCTAGAGGCAGGGGAACCCTTGGGGCTCAGACTCCTATGGACTCTTGCCTGTTGGTTTCACATCTCAACCCGCCTCCCCACTCCCTGGACAACCTGTTGACTTTAGGACTTCCTGTGTATTGGTTCAAAATGTTTAATTCAGATTAGAGAGGAGGTGGAGAGGAAAGTCTACATCACTGTGTCTGACAAAAGCTGCTTAACAACCCTACCTAGAATACAGATTCTCCAAATATTTTAGGTGCATCCCTAGAATTTCTTAACACCGGTACTTACCGCTCACAATGTTTCTGATTACCAGGATGGCATTAAGCGTCCATTTGATACCTCGCACACCATCTATTGTGGATAAATACCATGACAGCAATGAGTTAGGTGTACTGAGTTTGCCAGGTCTGATAGGAACATGGATACTTCCTGGCCTGCCTCACTTGCGAGGGACTGTGGGGATTAATGAATTAATGTTGTCAGAGCGGACGCAGAGCCAAATATCATTATTTGATAGGCGCGCTGGTTTCCTGTTGTCCTGGTAATTTTGTGCTGTATAAATATCATGTGAGGTTACTGGTGATTAATAACACTGCCTGCTACTCTGTCTCTAGACCATCCTGCGGGATCTGCTACGCTTCCTCATGGTTTACGGGATCTTCCTCTTTGGCTTTGCGGCAGGTGAGAACAGGCTCAGCATGAGGTTACCGGCAGACCTACCAGGAAGAGACCTGCCAAGGAAGAATCATTGTTCTGCTTTTGTTACAGCTCTGGTCACCCTCACGAGGGAGGCCCCCCCGGCTTCCCAGAACACGACTGTAGCCCAAGAGGATGACGATAAGGGCGGTGGGGCCTACAGGGGGCTGCTGAGCACTTCCCTGGAGCTCTTCAAGTTCACCATTGGGATGGGGGACCTGGAGTTCCAGGAGCATGTGAAATTCAAATACTTTGTCCTGCTCATGCTGCTGCTGTTTGTGATCCTGACCTACATCCTCCTGCTCAACATGTTGATCGCGCTCATGAGCGAGACGGTCACCAATGTCTCTGGTGACAGCAAGAGCATCTGGAAGCTGCAGGTAAGTCTGTCGCTCTGCTCCTCTGGACTCCCATGCAGGCCTTAGAACAGGCAGGCCCATGGGAGCTATTTGTAACACATCTTCTCCCACTGTGCATCCGATCTGACATGTTTGCTCTGAGCTCTGAAGTGGATTTAAAGTGGTGAAAGCGTGATGAGATCTTTCTCTCTCCATGTGCCTCTAGCACCTGTTGTCTTGGTGTCTGAAGTGCTGAGCTGTGCACCTTCCAGATCGACTTGTAAAGACTGCTGCCTTGCAAATTCCCTGCCTCTGGGCGGGAAGAGGAAGTGAAGCTGAGCAGATGGTTCTTGTTGAGGGAGATTAACAGCTGAGTTTACTGGGAGATTTATTCTAACTCCTCAACCTGCCAGAGCTGATTCTGGGTCAGGGAGGTCTTCCAGAGTCTTTGTGTGAGCATGCTCTCCTGGCAGCTTGAGTAATAGCACCTTCAGCCAATAAAACATTGGCTAAAACCTGACAGCATCACAAACCTTTCGTTGGTCGAGCATACTGTGGGAGCAAAGCCATGTTAAGAGACAGATATTTAACCCTTTTGCAGGTGTCAGGCATGTTCTCGGATTGTTCTCTGCATTTTTGCTTCAAAAAGCTATGAATGGGTCCTATATTCATTAACACAGGTCCCTACAATTAACAGGTACTTCTGCTGTTTTTATATATATATTGGTTTCTGTTATTTCCATTCCAATTCATCTGATGAAGTGGGGTTTTGCCCATGAAAGCTCAATGATACTACAGGCAGTCCCCGAGTTACGCGGATCCGACTTATGTCGGATCTGCAGTTACGAACGGGGATTTTCTCGCCCTGGAGGACTGGAGCGGCGGGACGCCTGGTCCCACCGCCCGCCTCCTCCGGGGCGAGAAAAGCTGCTCCCCGTCTCCCTGGTCTGCTGGGGGAGCCAGCAGACCAGGGAGACGGGGAGCAAAGCGGCTGAGGACCCGGGCCGGACCC